GGGGCAGACATTCCTGTGCTCGGCATCCTGTCCGAAACACAAGTAAATGCTCAATAAACAGTGGCCACTCGCATCGTCATCACTAAAGGTCCTTTTGGAAAATCTTTGTATAAATTCAGTCACAAATCAGTAAAAAAATGTCCCGTATCTGCTCGTTCAAGAAGCATGGTCTCACACGCCAAAGTCCTCTATGCGTGCAACGAACCACACTTCGGGAGTGGGAAAACCAAGTTTGGCTCTGCAGATCTCAAGTCCGGGGCAGGGTGAGAAGACCCCCCCAAGGTCTCTCGTGACTCCAATCCCAGGAAAAGACAAACACCCGAAGGAGTAAGAGGAGCCTGTGGCCCACGAAGATAAACCTACCAGGTCATGCCCAGTAGAGCCTGTCACAGGGCTTTGGGAGGGTGGGATTTTCCCCCCAAGTATTCCCAAATCCCCATATTCAGAAAGTCCATATACCATAGAAGCCTTAAACCACGGCATAAGGGTCCTTGAACCTTTCCTTTGCTTACTAACATAACCACTTCCTACTAACCAGAGTGAAAACTGTGTCAGATGGATGTAAATCAAAAAGAGACCAGACCGAGTTCTATCTATTCTGTTGTTCTTTAGGAGATAACTATTTGAGGAGAATGATGGAACCTCTTAGCAGAAGTATGGAGGTGATGACCTAGGTTCAGCCAATAGTTCTTAGTCTAAGATCCTTACTCTGCACTTTGGTCCATGCCAATAAACTGCTTCTGTGGAGAATTCTACTTCTAACCCCTCCCCCATTCCTCTCCTCCCTGTCACCCCCGTATTATCTGAGGGGAGAAGATGCAAGTCTGTAGGAAGCTGGGAGGCAGCCTCCACCTGGTCTTGTGCCTGGCACCACGGCCATTCGCACAGACCACACAGCCAGGCCAAGGGCATCTCCTGGCACATGCCAAAGCCCCACCTAGGACCCCTGGGAAGCACTCGTGCAAATCCATTCGTTGTGCCCCAGGAGAGTGCCCCTGAGTCTGTCCTTCCCTTCTGTGCTCTCCCAGCGCTGTGCCTGGGCAACCGAGGCAGCGGACACCCCTCGGCCTGCTCCACGCCGGACACTGCTCCGGGTGTGCTGAGAAGCCAGACATTCCTCATGCTTGCAAGGAACTCACAGTTGAGTGAGGACAAATTACTACACAGGGTGACAAGGACCATGAGAGAAATAAACTTGAGGCTGGGGCTAGGAACCACGCTGGAGGGGAGAGAGGCCTGAAGGACAACGGAAGGTGGCCCTCCCCCTCTTGTTGGTCCAATGGAATCACAATGTCTTTCTTCTGAGGACTGCCTGTCAGGACTGTGGACCGCCCGAGGGTGGTCACAAACCCCAAGCCTTACCCTGGCCACACAGACGCCCATCATAAGTGGGAAGACAGGACGCCTGCCCCGTCCCTGCCATGTGTCGCTCTCACACAGCTGGTAGGTTCTTCCACCCACTCCTAACAGCCCATAAAACACTTCCTCCAACTTGCCAACAAGGAAATTGGAAGAGTCAATCTTCTCATCATGCCACACAGTTCGGGGAGGTCCTGTTCTAGGCACTGAGGCCTGGCACCGAACAAGGCGCACACAGGCCTATTCCTGTGGAGCCTGTATTCGGGGGGAAGGTCAGTAAAACAGAAAATAATTCCAGATGTCGGCAAATGCCATAAAGAAAGCTAAATAGGATGACTTGATTGGACTGACACAGAAGAACAGTAGCAGAGAAAAGCAGATTCCAAATACAAGGAAGAGCCAGTGCAAAGGCCCTGAGGCAGGAAGGAGCTCGACTTACTCAAGGAAGAGAAAGGGGGTCAGTGTGGGAGGGGGTAGGGGACAAGGTAGAAGGACAGACCAGGGACCAGCTGTGTCAGGTATTACAGGTGGTGGTGAGGATGGGGAATTTTATTGCCAACACAGCACGGGGCCGTGGGAAGGTCCTTAAAGCAGGGAAGTGACACAGTCTAAGTTCTGGCTATTGCAGAAGAAGGAATGACGGCAGCCAGGTTGAAAGAGGTTTGGAGAAGTTTAAGCGAGCAGCTCAGATTTTACCGCCCTCAGATATTATCGCGCACATCCAACCCCAAGGACCGTTTCCATGGCGTCACATTTTACACACTGCAGTATCGTGTTCCACAGGAACAGCGCATCTGACAAAGTGGGGCTCCCACAACCTCTGTGGTCCCAGCCTCCGTCCCGCATCAGTCAAGTGGGGACAGCTGCTCGTGGCTGTGTGGCAACGATTCAGCAGCAAATGAAGTAACGTGCTTTGTACTCAACTGGCCGCATTCAACGAACAGTGAGTGTCTACTGTGTGCCAGACGCTCGTACAGTTGTTAGAAATGACTTATCAGAGTACCGTATTTCTCAGACTATGAGACACTTTCCCCCCATATTTGGGGGGGTGCATCTTATAGTCCGAATGTAGTGTGCCTGGCTCACTGTGGGGGTGTGTGGCCTATGTTACTTATGTTATTAAATATTTTACCACATTTTTTGTTTCAAAAAATTTCCCTCTATATTCCCCCTCTAAAACCTAGGTGCGTCTTGCGGTCTGGTACATCTTACAGTCAGAAAAATTAAGCAGATGTTTAATGCAAAAAATTAGTCTGGGAAAAATCAAGAGCCAGTCCCCACTCCTGGAGGAAGGTGAGGCTGGTGTGGGTACGGGGTTCCCCTTAGTCTATGCTTTTCTCTCCATTAAGCCAAATTTTCTCGAGAAGCATCTTTTTTGAACAGGGTCTGATATTTCTGCTCCCTAGCAGAAAAGAAATAAAGGAGAAAAAAGTCAACATACTGGGAAGGTAAGACATTATAACCAAAGGAACCCAGGATTTACCCTATCAGACCAGCTTCAAATCACAGGTGACCTTGACCATCACCCTGAGTGAGTTTTCTATTTTTAACCTGTAAAACCTGCACAAACCTGTCCTCCCTCAATGCAGTGAACTAATCTGGCACTATGGCATGGGTGAGGCACAATTAATGGGACCTGCCTGCCCTGTTCTTTTGAGTGGGTAAAAGAGAGATTAGAACACACATTATGAAAGACGGGATTCTCAGGTAACTGAGCTGTTTGAGTTTAAACAGTTCTTAGAAATCTTTCCTGCTGGAAAGGGGCAAATGAGGTCAAAGTCATTCCTCTCAAGCTTCCAGCAGAACTGCCAACCACCTGAGCCTATGATAAGCAAGGCAGCCCAACTTCCGTGACAGCGCTCACTAACTCATTTAGCCACCACCTCCAGAAGAGAATCAAGCCTGCCTGGTCTACTATCCCATGGCCCCTGATTTTTTTTTTTTAAGATTCTACTTATTTATTGAGAGAGGAGAAAGGAGGGAGAAAGAGAGGGAAAGGAACATAGATGTGGGAGAGATACATCAATCGGTTGCCTCTCACATGCCCCCACCTGGGAACCTGGCCTGCAACCCAGGCATGTGCCCTGACTGGGAATCAAACCAGTGACCTTTCAGTTCACAAGCCAGTGCTCAATCCACTGAGCCATGCCAGCCAGAGCTGCTTTTTAATTAAACCACTGAGACAGGATTTCTTCTCCAGATGCCCAGAACATGCTGCACCTTGACCGTTCTGCTGCAGGGAGAAGACCAAGGGAAGCAGAGAAAGTCACAGCCGGGCTAGCAACACAGGACAGAGATGGACCAGTAGGTACAGAAAAAAGGAAAACATAAGTTGGCCAAAAGACAGCTACTCCCAGGTGAGGAAGAAACCCTGATTAGCTGGTAACTTCTGAATCAGAATTCCGTGGACACCGGGTGTCCACGTCTGTGTGGGGAACCGGGGAACCCACTGAGAAGACCTCTCCATTCCTGTACAGGGTTGAACAGTGTCCCCCAAGTTCATGTCGACCTGGAACCTCAGAATGTGGCCTTATGTGCTAATAGAGTCTTCTCAGAAGTACGATAATTAGTTAAATTAAGACCAGGTCATGCTGGATTAAAGCAGACCCTGTTCCAATGACTGGCGTCCTCATAGGAGAGAAAAAAAAAACACAGACGGAATGCCATGTGGCAACAGAGTCAGGCTGCAATGGAACGTCTACGAAGCCAAGGAGTCCTGGCCCTTGGACTTCTAGCCTGTCATGTTCAGTTCTCTCACCTGTGGTACTTTGTCAGGGCAGCCCCAGGAAACCAATTCGCTCTATTTCACACCTGCACCCCAAACCACCTGACTGTCCCAGTCCCATCCTAGGGGTGGGAAGCAACACACACACACACACACACACACACACACACACACACACACACACAGGCAGTGCCTCCAGCCCACCTGCACTTTTCCACCTTGTCAATGCCCAAGAGCACTCCTGCCTTGGAGGTGAGGGGAGTACAGGGATCGCATTTCAGCTGCCCCCCACCGTCTGCCACCAGAGGCAAACTGGCAGGGGAGTGTTTGTTTTTCTCCTGGCATCCTCCTTACTCGGAGGGGCTCCTCACCGAGATTCGTATTTCTTAAATTTTATTTTGTCCCATCCTAGAGATACTGGGGGGAGGGAGTATAACTGTGATACCTTACACTATCCTTTACCTAATAGTTTTTATATTGAAGCACTACTTTTACTTAACTTTCCTTTAAGAGGAACTGCTACATGGTGACAGTAAATGGAAAATCAGCATCCTTTATCCCATGCAAAACTTGTTAGATACACGTTCTTAAGTTGCACATTATTTTTAAGCCCATTCATTCACCTTTTTAAATAATCTAGGGTGGCAATACTATGGAAAATACCACCTTAAAGAGTACAGTGATTGTCTCGGTTTAGCTGGCCGGGTGCTCCGGGCGCCTAATCAGAAAAACCAACTTAAACTCTCCAATCTCATTTCTCCTCCGGATCCTCCGAGAGAAGAGGCTCAGGGCTGGAGCAAAGAATGGCACCGGGAGTTCCCAGGTCCCCCGCGGGGCGACCCAAGCAAACAGGGTGAGAGCGAAAGAGACATTAAATATTCAGCCAAGAGAGCGACAAGGGAGGGGACGAACTGACCTTCTCGCGCAGGGTGCAGTGGACGTCCGAGGCGACGCGCCCTTCCCACCAAGGCTCATCCATCACCGCGTCTGCAGCGCCGCGATCCGAGGCTACCGGGCTCTCAGGGCGCACCCTGCGTGGACATGGGCTACCTCAGCGGCCGCAGCGCGCTCCCCGCTCCAACCCCCTGCATCTCTATCCTCGCTCCTCCGGGATGGGAGACCCTCCAGCCCACCTCAGGAGAGCTGGTGGTCGCCTCCCGTCCCAGGAAGGTGGCGGTGTCCCCTCCCCTCTGTCCGTGGGACCTAGGGAAAGACCTGGAGCGCTGCAACAACTCGCAGAATTTTTATCTTCCCTTTCGCAAAAGTTGCAGAGAAAGTTGCCGACTTCGTTAGATTGCCCGAGGCTGCGGCTCTGGCAAAGGCCACCAGCTCGCCGTCCCAACTCCTCCCCCGCCGCCCAGCCTTTGTCCTGCTCCCACATCCTGCCCTCGAGCCGGAGCGAAACTCACTCATTCCTCTCCGGGCGTGGGGGGCTGTGGGCACCTAGCCTCTCCCAGAACCGAGGCGGGCCCTCGGGTGCACGCACGCTGCTGAGCCCTCGCGCCCTGCGCTCCACGCTACCGACGGCAGCCTCCGCAGCCGGGCTCGCCCCCGCGCCGCCGCGCCCCAGAATGCGCTCGGGTGCCGCCACGGCTCGCTGCCTCCGGGCCGCCGGGGGCCTCCCCCTCTCGCTAAGGGAATTGGGGGCCGGGCCTCGCGCATGCGCTGCCAGCCCCCGCACCCCGCGGGGCGGGGGGCTGGGAATTGGAGTCTTTCTTTCGCCAGCTCTGGCTTCGCTTCCTGCCCGCCCTCCTCCCCCGCCTGTGTGGAAAGCTTCCTCTCACCTTGGTGGAGACTCCTGGTGGCCTCCTGGGCACCCCGCGGGCCTACACGGGGAGCGGGGGAGCTCTGGGACCGCGCCGCCACCTGCGCGCACCACGCGCGAAACGCGCGGGCAGGATGTCCCCCAAAGTTCTGTCTCCTGCATGCGCTGCCCTAGCAAACCTTAACGTCGGTTCCTCCTGTCCTTTTCTTTCATTTTTTTAACTTTTCTATTTCCTTCCTCCCTTCTTCCTTTTCTCCCTTCCTTGCTTTCTTTCTCTTTCCTTCCCTGCCTTCTTGCTTTCTTTTTGGAACCTGTCCTGCGATGGGGAGGTAGATTTCGAAACGGACAGTTCCCACGAAAGCTGCAGAAAGACCGCTCTTGATTATTCACGAGTCTCTACTTCCAAAAGAGGCTCAGTAAGTCAATTGGTGTTTATTGTGCTACTGCAAAGTACAGATCTTCCCATACACTGAAGGAAAAACAGGCTTTTTGGAGGGTCTGGTGGGTGGAAGGCATTATCTTTCCAATTTAGTTGGTTTCGAAAAGGCGCTCCTTTGAGTCCCCAGATCTGATAGCACAGCGTTGGCTGTCCTCTCGGCTGACTGTTGTTGTGAGACTTACAGAGATTCAGACTTCCAGACCAACAGACCTATTGCAAATCCACCTGCCAGTTGGATGATTTTTGCCTAGTTCCTCACGCTGTCGAAGCCTGGGAACCCTCACGGCTAAAATGGGAATAAGAATTGCACCAACCTGTTGGAGATACAATCACTAAATAAAACAATTCGTATCAAGGGATAATGGCCATGCTGAGTGTAAAACGGACGCAATACACAGCTGTTACTAAAGAGCCTTTAGTTTCTGACTGGCTTCCTGCACGCAAATGCTCACCTGGAAAAAATTTTAAAGTCAGCTTTGATAAGCTTCAATTGGAGCTTGCAGAGCCGTTTGAATGTAAAGAAAGAAAAATTATGAACTCTTGTAAAAGCGTCAAATACCCAGGAATAAACCTGCTCTAAAGTACAGACTCTTAATGGTTGAAACAAGAAAGGCTTGAAGAAATGAAGGTGAAAATATCAACTTCACCCACGTTAACTCTTTTAATAAAATTGTAATGGCCGTGGGTGGATGGGCAAGGGATGACATAGCTTTCTAATACTTAAAGAGAAGAATACCTATGAAAAAATGCTAAGATATTTTAAAATGGGGGATAGACTTATATTACCAAATCCTAAAACATACTGCAAAGCTATCACTGAAATAGTGTGATGTTGATACACGAAGAGATGAATAAGCAGCATCAGTGGAATAATTGAAAGCTTAGAAACATAGGCAACATACATTAAAATTAAACACAGGCCCTGGCTGGCGTAGCTCAGTGGATTAAGTGTGGGCTGCGAACCAAAAGGTCGCCAGTTCGATCCCCAGTCAGGGCACATGCCTGGGTTGCAAGCCAGGTCCCCAGTGGGGGGCCATGTAAGAGGCAACCACACATCGATATTTTTCCCCCTCTCTTTCTCCCTCCCTCCTTTCTGTCTATAAAAATAAATTAATTAAATCTTTTTAAAAAATTAAACATAGAGTAAATGGGACATTTCACTTTGGTGGGGAAAAGGATAAATTCCTGAATAAATTAAGCCAGGGACATTAATTTGGGGGAGAAACATACAACTAAGAATCTATTTAAACCATCACTAAAATCAATATAAGAAGCTGTCGAATGATGAAACGAAAAGAAGTTAGTACCGATTTTAATGTTTTTTGTTCCAGGGAAAACGTTCCGTGGGCTGGGGAGAACCGCACCTCACAAACAACAGCGCTCTCTGCCCGCGGGATCTGGGGCGGGAGCCAGTTTCATCGGGACAACACGGAAACAAGGCAACGGGGCGTGGCTGTGTAGGAGGGTGGGATGTCCTTCCACGGCTATTTTCTCGGTAAGGTAAGCTGGTGAGAGCCGAGTTGGAAGTCTGTGATTGGTGTCTGCTCAAGCTGACTTAGGCTTCCATCTGTGACAAGGTGGGGCCCCTGGGGCCGCCTCTACTTTGTGGGTCCCAGTACAGTAGTCCCCCCTTATCCCTGGTTTCACTTCCCACAGTTCCCGTTTCGCACAAGCCAAAATAGTCTATGGGAAAACTCCAGAAATAAACGATTCATAAGTTGTCCATTGCTCACTGTCCTGAGCAATGGGACAGAATTTCACACCATCCCACTCCGCCCTGCCCGGCACGGGAATCATCCCTTTGTCCAGGGAAGCCACCTTGTGTGTTCGGGATACTAAGATGCTTGGAGAGAGAGACCACATTCACGTCACTGCTATCGCGGTACACTATTATAATTATTCTATTATTAGTTATTATTTTCCTCTTTCCCTGGGCCTAATTTATAAGTTGAACTTTGTCATAAGTATGTATGGATAAGAAAAAATGTCGTCTGTGTAGGGTGCAGGACTTACTATCTGTGGTTTCTGGTGTCTGCTGGGGGTCCTGGAGTGTATCCCCTGTGGCTAAGGGCTCACTCCTGTCCAGGAATTAACGTTATCAAACCCAAAGGACTGAACAACGAAAACATCACAAGACAATTAAAGGAAAATAGAGGTGAATTATTTCAGAGGAGAAGGCCCAGATATTAAGGCATAGGAAGAAATCACAGGCAGGATATATACAATATGCAAGGCTTATCGAATATCATCAAATGGGCAAATGACAAACTGAAGATGTTTTTTAAAAATGTGACAAAGGGCGATCTCACTATAGAAATCTTATAAATCAGTGCTTAAAACGCTAACACCCCAAATGCAGATATGGATGAATTCTGTGTAGAAAGACTGGGGTACATCTCTATGAAGGGGCTCTAAAATCATAGTATGCGGGGTTGACCAGTGGCCAGTGTTGCTGTGAATACAAATTAATAGCATCTTCCTGAAAAACAATATAACTCAAAAAGTGAAAAAATGTGCCATTTGCTCCAACTGTTTCATGTCTGGAAGTTTAAAAAAAAACCAAGAAGATGAAAAGATGAGTACGAGGGTGTATTTACAGGGGTTTTTTAAAAGATTTTATTTATTTATGTTTAGAGAGAAGACAAGGGAAGAAGAGAGGGAGAGGAACATCAGTGTGTGGTTGCCTCTCTGGAGCACCCTACTAGGGACCTGGCCTGCAACCCAGGCATGTGCCTTGACTGGGAATCAAACCAGTGACCCTTTGGTTTGCAGGCCAGCACTCAATCCACTGAGCTACACCAGCCAGGGCTATTTACAGGGGTTTTGTCACAATACTTTTTTATTATAGTAAATTACTAAAACAGGAATTAATTAAATAATGATTTAGCTCTTAAAAATATTTTTAAAGAGAATGAGTAAAGACAGGAAACGTTCAGAATATATTAGGTGAAAAAGTTCAAGTATGACCCCACCCATACCCCACTCAGATACACACACGAGAGACTGAAGAATACCCATGCAATCACTAACTGTGAGATCAGAGTAGTAGGGTTGTGGGAAATTTCATTTTAATTTTTATTCTAGCATATCTCAGTATTCTAAAATTTTTCTATAAGAAACGTGTGTTACTTCCATAATCAGAAAAAACGGATGAATGTGATTTTAAAATAACCACATGAAATGCTTAGCCCGTGTGGCCTGCCACGGAATCACGTAGTGCTAAGTCTTGTTTTGTTTCTGTTTTTTTCATAGCTGTCTTACTTCTTTTTCAATAACTTTTCTATGCTGGGCACACTGAAAGAAAGGCCTTTATTTTTCTCTAATTTGGAGCCCTCTCTTCCTAAACTTCAGTTCTCAGTTATCAGGAGTCCCAGTAGGGCGAGAGGGAGGCAGAGACTTGGGGCTTTTTTCCCAAGGATTATTTTAAAAGGGTTCTAAACATTGTCCATACTCTGCAGGCCTCTGTGTATCATTTTCAGGAGCCTCGGATTTTCTCAGTATCTCTGAAGCATACAAGTACATTGCACAGAGTGGGTGGGGGAGGACAAAGAGGGTAGAGGGTGGCGGAAGGAGCTGGACTTCCAGTAGTAAGCAAACAATAGAGTGTATGGATATTGCATTAGAAAGTTTTCCACCTGAAATGTATATGACATTATTGACCAATGTTGCCCCAGTAATTTTTGCAGGCTATTAAAAAATAGCCTCTGAAAACCTCAAACCCTCGCACTGATGTTTTAGGTGGTGATTCACTGTCCACAGGTAGAAATGGTGGCGGAGCCCTTAGCAGAAGAGGCTTCCTCAAGTGGACAGCCAGGGGACAGTGTGACTGGAGTTGACTGCTCCCACCCACACCATCCCCACCAGGCCCAGAAGTCTTCCTCCCTCCCTCCCTCCCTCCCTCCCTCCCTCCCTCCCTTCCTTCCTTCCTTCCAAAACAAACCTTTATCAAGTGCTCACTCGGAGCCAGTTATCACCCAATCCTTTGAATCTCACATACTGGGAACAAAAAATATTTAGAGCAGGATGATCTTCCCCATCTACAACCTCCCCAGGTACAAAATGACCTTTCCAATCTTCCTTGGAGGACAAATCCATCGACTATTCCCAACTGCTCACTGTAACTTTCCCCATTCTTTTCTATTTTCCTGCGATACAAGCTCTCACGTGACAGATACATACCTGTCCTCACCCCGGGTCCCAGACCTCATTCTCCTCTCCAAGGACAAACAGCACCTTATGTTTCTTCCCAGAAGTGACCCACGCATTTACTAACATAGACATTCGCGCCTTTTCTCCTTTTTAAAAAAACTTATATATTTATTTATTTTTAGGCAGAGAGGAAGGGAGAAAGAGAGGGAAAGAAACCTCAATGTATGGTTGCCTCTCACATGTCCCCCCACTGGGGACCTGGCCTGCAACCCAGGCATGTGCCTTGACTGGGAATTGAACCAGCGACCCTTTGATTAGC